TGGGTAGGAGGACAGTATTATAGCTCTGTGGCCTAAATTGCTCTAAAAGTATAACGCTCATCCAATAAAAGAGGTGTTCACACTCACACATACACACGCGGGAGCCGAAGATGGCCTTATGGGACATGGAGTTATTTCAGTGAATCTATGAGCATCTGGAACTCAGTATAAGGGTGAATGTGTGTTTGTGCGCATGAGTGCGAGCATGTACCTTATTGTAAACCACATCTAAACCAGTTTGTCATGTCCAGAGCCTTCAAAGACTGTGAAAAGTGAAAGGCACTGGCTGATTGTTTGGTGGGTGCTAAAATATCAAGCATTCCAGGGAAAGTCCTAATGTCTCACACTAAGGTCCAGGCTCTGTGGGGCGTCCCTGGGACAAATCCATTCTATTTTAGGGACAGGCTTCACAGGCTCCTCTTACTTTGGAGACCAGAAACTTGTTTGTTGTGGGCTTCACCAATGTTAACTTGAAACCTACAAAATCAATTTACATGTTCCTCCATGGAAATTAAACAAATGATATATCCAGGAGCTTCAATGCCCACACAATACTTAGTTATAAAGATTGTAAAAGATCTAATGCCCCAAGGAGGGAAATAAACCCTGCAACATAAGGTAATTATTTTTTTAATTGGAAATACTAACTTGAATTAGTATACACTGTAATCCTAAAAGGATGAACGAACGAAGGAAGACTAGAAGGAAGGGAGACAGAAAAGAAAGGAAAAAATGAAAGGAAAGGAGGAACTTAAAAATCCTACAGATCAGTGGTGGTCTATGGCACACCTGTTTTCCTTTTAAGACAAAAGATGTCACTTTAGGAGGTGTTTTTCCTAAGCTAAACCCTCAGGATTCAGGTTTAATTGCAATGCTGGTACTTTGCAGTAAGTAACTGGGTTTTGGTTTGCAATCCCGGCTCCCTTCTAAAGGGTTCACCGCCATTGCTGTTGATGAGCAAGTCCCAGTCCCAGCTGCATTGGCTGCAACTGCTGTCACAGGTTTGCACGATCATCTAGGCTGTTCAAGTAGATGAATATGATTGGCAGCCGCGCCCATCACTCTATTGTTTGGTGACAGATTCAACTAAGTTTTCTGGAAAATTATTTTCTCATTTTACAACCTAAGTTTTCTCTATGTATCCTGAGACCACTTGCCTCTGGGGAATACAATGTGCCAAAACTTTATTTCACTCAATGAATATTTACCTGCATTCACTACGCCCTGTGCACCCACTGTGTACCCAAGGGACTGACTGGGGTCAACAAAACGTACCAAACTGCCCGCCTTACGGCAGTTATCAAGTGTCCATTTTCACTTACACTGCCACCAACAGTGCATTGTGTGTTCCGATCGCCCTACATTCCGGCCAATACTTGGTTTACTAGCTATTTATTTATTTTTGAGACAGGGTCTCACTATGCAGTTCAGGCTGGCCTTGAGCTCACTTTGTAGCCAGACTGCTTCGAATTTGCAACAACCCTCCTGCCTCAGCCTCCTGAGTATTGGGATTTGCAGGCTTGTACCAGCAGTCTTTTAAATTTTGAAGTTTGCTAGAAGTGAAATTGTAGCAGGTATGGTAGCACCTGCCTTGAATGCCGGTGCACAGGAGGCTGAGACCGAAGTAATTTTAAGGCCAGCTTGTGAGTTCAAGGTCAGTCTGAACTGCACAGCGAGAGCCTGTGTCAAAAAAAAAAAAAAAAAAAAAAAAAAAAAAAGTGAGATGGTAAAGTGGTCTGTGGTCATTATCTAAATTTCCAACCAGTTAATTCAGGTGAAAATTAGCTGCCACCAAGTTTCATCTTCTGTTTCCTACATGTATTGCTGGCCTGTGTTTCTTTTATTACCATATTTTAGGTATTCATAACATTCATGGTAGAGAACTTGTAACTGTATGTGATACATCTTTTTTTCTCATTCCCTTTACTCCCTTCAGACTCGCTACTCTTCCTTACTTGCGAAAGCTTTATTTCCATTTTTTGTCTCTTCTTTCCTTTCCCCTCCTCCTGCCTTGTTCTCCTTTTCATTTGAACATCTCCTATTTCCTAGCATCTGTTACAAATTTTGGTCCTTATTTACACTTTGGTTCTGACACCAGCAAGAATGCAGTATTTAAACATGTGTTCCATTTATTTCACTTAGGAGTATGTTCTCAAGGTGCATCCACTTACCTAGAAATGTCTCAAGCATATCCTTCTTTTACAGAGTAGTACTCCACTGTATATATATATATATATATATATATATATATATATATATATTTTTTTTTTTAAACCCCCACATCTTCTTATCCATTCACCAGTTGATAGGCATTTGGGCTGTTTCCAAGGCTTGGCTATTACAAACTGTGCTGCTATAAACATGGGTGTGCATACGGCACTGTGGTATGATGCTTTTAATTCTTTGGGAAAGATACTGAGTGGTGGCTTATATTTCTATCAGGCTGTTTTTCTGACTTATAAGTTTGTCATACATTCTGGGTTATTTTAGGTCTAGATCCTAGAAGTAAGCCCTTGATCAGGATCACAAGTGATAAAAAAAAAAAAGGATTTAGAATGGATTTCTTGTGGCAGTGTATATAAGAGAAATGGAAGAGACAGGAAAGGGGAGGAAACAAAGCAACAGAGTGCAGTCCCCAGGTGTCCCAGCAGCCTCTGCTTGTTCCCAGGGAACTCTGTGTGGGAGGGAGTTACATATCCAACTTGTCACTGGCCAAAGGCTGTGCTGGAGAATGTACACTCCTTGTGTTTCTTGCTACGTATATAAGGGTGAATGAGCGCCTGGTCATACTTTTCAGTGCAAGAGGTACTGACTTTTAGAAGTCAAAACACTCTGGGATCAGGGAGTGGGATGCACAGAAATGCTGAGGAAGAAAACTGGGCGTGGTGGTGCACACCCATAATCGCAGGACTTGGGAAGCTGAGGCAGGAGGAGTGCCACAAGTTTGGGTCAACTATAGGCTACATAGTGAGCTCAAGGCCAGCCTGGACTACATGGTGAGACACTGCCTCATAAAATGAAATAAAAACAAAACCAAATGAAATGATTAGGAGGGGGAAAATGGTGAGGAGAAACCTAAGGTAATCTCGCTGGAAAACTGGTAGCATCTGCTAAGGCCACTGCATGATGAAGAACAACTCATTTCACTATTACCAGGAATGCAGTGTCTACAAAATGCCCAACACCAGTAAATTAAAGGAGGAATAGCTTTATCTTTGATCACAAAGATCTTTTTTCCCTCTCCTCCATTTTCCTCCCCTTTTTCTTTTCCTCTTCTTGTTTTGTTTTACTATGGTGGGAGTATTGGGGATTGAGCTGAAAGCCTTCTCTCTGCACTACATTGCCAACCCTTTTATTTTGAAACATCTCCCCCAATTGCCCAGGCTGGGCTTGCATTTATGATCTTCCTGCCTCAGCCTCCCAGAGCCCCGGTATCACAGACATGTACCATCACACCCAGCTCGGCTCGTTTTCAGTCCATGGTCAGCTGCCTCCAAGGCAGAAACAGGATGGCAGGGGGGCCAGAGGAGGAAGATCTGTGCACATCACAGTGGCCAAGGAGCAGACAGCGCTGTGCCAGAGCTACCTACCCCGCCATGCATGCGCTGTTGTTGGAAATATAAATTCAAACCCTTTTGGGGGAAAATAATGGATAGAACCTATCAATATTTTAAATCATTATCACTGGAGATACAGTGGTTCCTTTGCTAGAAATCTATTCTCTAGCCATTGTCACACACAAGTAGACTATTCACTTATATTATCTGTAGAGGAAAATCTGAAAACTACCAATAGGTGACATCCACACAAAGCAGTATTATTTGAGGTTTAAAATAACGAAGTATATAACTATATGTACTAGCAGAGAGGGAGGTTCAAAAGACCCTGGATATATCTGCTGCTTACTGTGTGACCGTGTGCAAGTACTTAACTTTCTACACCTCAATGTCCTCATCTGTAAAGTGGGGGCAGTGATATTGCTGACATGACTTTGTTTGCAGAAAAGATTGTTAGATCATATCTACCAAGTGTTTTACACAGTGCCCTGTACACAGTAAATGTTCAGTAAGTATAAAAGTGTCAAGATGGTATATGTAATTGCTTCTTTGTTTAAACATACAACGTATAGGAGTAAAAATCTGGCATAGTTTTTTAAGTCTGAGGTTTGGGAGGTATAGAACTTTCACTCTTTTATTTTATACATGGTGGTACTTTTATTTTATACGTGGTGGTACTTAACATTTTCAACAATGAGCACTTATTTCCTTAAAAGTGATGGTGAATCTTAGTTTTTAAGTAGACATGTAAGACTGCTGCATGTGGCGGCACACTGCTGGTAATGCCAGCACTCTAGGAGGCTGAGGCAGGAGGATCAGAAGTTTGAGCCAAGCCTGGACAAATTAGCAACTAAGTAAGATGCTGTCTCCAAAAAAAAAAAATTAAATTAAATTAAATTTTTAAAAATGGCTTGGGATGTAGCAGAGAGAAAAGGTCCTGGTTCAATTCCCAGTAACAGCAGCAGCAACCAAAACAAAAGGCATAGAGTTAGTCTGGGAGACTGACAAAACTGCACAGGATCCAGCGGACTCAACAGAAAACACACGGTCACAAGCCCAAACTCAGAATCAACGACAACCTGTTATTCTGGCTTTAGTTTTGAGAACAAAGAGGGCCACAGCTGTTCATAACAGAGGCAGGAGTACGAAGCCTGTAGTTGTGATGTCTTGTATCTGGCAGTGTGTTTGCTAGGGTGGTGTGCTGAAACATATATATACACATACCTTTAAAATCCCAGCAGGCCATTTGGAATAAAGTAGGAACCAGAATTCTGCAGACATTTAGAACGCTGAAGGCCGGGCATGTAAGCCAAAAGGATGTTTGCCTACAGAATTTTCTTTCTTTCATTGTCTGCCAGGGGGTTACATAAGCTTTTCTCCAGTTCCACCCAAACCCTCAGTCAGAAAAACATACACAAAGAATGAAAAGATGGAGCCTCCCACTGGAAATTCATTTGTATTTATTTTTCTTATACAGAATCAGAGAAGTAAAAACCAGTACCAAACTCTAGGTAAAATGGTTTGATCTGATTGATTTGAGCGCATACTTTCTGTACGCACAACATTCGGAATTAGAAATAAACACACATATGTCATATTACAAAATGTAGGAGTAAATTCTTTAAAAAGTTAAAGTACTAGCATATTAAATGATGTAGTGTTAGGGAAACGGTCTCTGTCAATCACCCATTTTCCCGATCCAATGCATCTGTAATTTCCTTTTTTTTTAACAGCCTATTTTTTTAAAATCCAAGTTGTACTCTCGGAAGTGACTTTCTGCTGATGTGATGAGAACACAACGGTCACGGCGACCCGCCTCACTGCAGCGCACCCGCCCCGGCACAGCTGTTCCCCCAGGTGGGGCCAGCGCACTGCAGCACCTGAGCTGTCCACTGTCCTCACGCTTCCCGTGCGTCCCGTCATCAGTGAAAGTCATGGCATTTCACACCCTACCTACAGGCGGAAACACAGGCTAACCGTTCCTTTGATGTAACAGAATTACCAACAGGTTCTGACACTTTATTTGCTAGTAAGACAATGTATTTCATCAGGAAAAAAAATCTTGAGTGAAAGATCTCTGAAATTCCTTTTCAACTTCACTTTTTAAAATAGGCCTTTCGCACAGCACAACTGTGGGGTGAGATGGTAAAACAGATTGATTTAGGACTACAAAGACTAGGTATCCTGGCAGTTGTCTTACAATAAGATATATAGTATAAATAGCACCTTATCATGAATTCTGAGGTGTGTAACACTTACAATAATAAGAAATAGTCATTTAAGGTTGCTTTGGAGGCTGGGGGGTAGCTCAGTGGGAGAATGTGGACCTAGCATGCATCCTAGGTTGTTCAACCCCAGCACTGAAACGAAACAAAAAAAGCTCTTACTTTAGATTTCAGGCTTGAATGTTCTTTAACAAAAGCCGTATTTTTTTGGCTTTTAAAAACAACAAAACAGTATATCTCCCTTTATCTAATAGTAAACAAATAGGGTCCATATTTTATTTTGGAAAAATATTTATTATATTCATTAATAAATGTTCTAATTTCACTAAAAATTATTCTAGAATTTTCTAATGCCATAAACTTACTAAAAAATTACTTCTAAAAGTTGGTGATGTAAATCATCAATGATTTAACTACTTAAAAAAAAAGAAGGGTATCTCTTTCTCTTACATTTAATAACCTGAAAATGCATCTATAAAAATATTTTTTAAAAATACAGTAACACTGCTGAGTTCTGTTAGGTCCCTTATTTTTTTTTTTTTTTCTTAGAATGTACAACTCTTTTTGCAATTTTTGCTTACAAAAAAGAAAAAGAAAGAGTGCTCCCTTTCAATTTAGTAGCAACATAAACATCTACCTTCACTCTCTCAGAGTGCTGAGAGAACGAAAGGAATTAGTGGAACATAAACCGCGGTCCGCGAGGAGAAAGCACTCACGAGTGTGGAGACGCAGCAGGTCTCTGCGCCGGGCTGTGCGGATAGAGACCCACGGCCGGCCCTGCACTCTTCTCCCACGTAAAGTGCGCCAAAGCCCTCTTTTCTGCCACAACAGAATCACTGGTGTGAGGTTGTAGTAGAAAATCGTTGCTCTGTTCTTTCAGGGCAGCTCTCACACCTCCTGCTTGTCTTGCTATTGGGGTGCTATCCCTCGTCACCCCCCTTTCACAGCTAGAATCCTGCCCACTCTATTCCGCAACTTCCCTACTTCACCTCTGACCTTTTCACTTGCTTTCTTTCCAACAAGATCAAATGTGGTCTGCACATCTAAACTCTGACAGATGGAAAAGGGTCTTGGGTAAGATCACCAAAGATAAGTTCCCCCCGCCCCCACCATGGGAATTGAAAGGTTCCTCTCAGAGACCTGAATTATTAATGTTTTTTTAAAGGTTAAATTCATAGATTATAAATAATGTCATTCAAAATATTAAACATTTGAGGACTTCATCGGCAATGCAGGGAGCCTGCACGCCAGGTGAACAGGATGCTCGCTCAGTCCTTAAAAGCTAATAAAGTTTTTGGTTACATGGAGGTATTGAATACATAGCTCATGCCTTTTTATACCAACTGTAGCTGTCGCAAGCAGGGTTAGGATAATATATGTGGGAATCAATTTTACTGCATTCAGAAACATGTCTCCACCGATGGCCCTCAGAGGGCATTTTTGTTACACGTCAGTTGGAGATCTGCTTCATCCTTCAAACAGTTTCATAGATAGGCTTATTTTAAATACTTGAGATCTTCAAAGCAAAACTGACAAGGCTTCAGAATTTGAAAAGCAACAGCTTATTGCATGTGCCATCAGGTTGAAATCCCGATGTCTTCAAAATAATTTCAAAAGAAAAAAAATACAGTTTAGCACTGATTTATCAAAAACATATGGCTGCCCTTGGTCAACAGCTATAAAATTACAGTGTTTTCTAAATAAACATCAAATTCTAAGTTGCATTGTTAGCAAATCCATGTTGCAATTAAATTTTTTTTGTTTAATAAATGCTTATTATTAGTAAAAACTGGTCTCTTTCACAAGATCTCTAAGAACTCTAATGCTTCTACTACTGACGGAAGGACTAAGTTGTCTAGAAGCTACACAGTAAAACAATGAAAAATAAACTATAATAGCACTGTCTGTGCCTTTGCAATACAAAGTAGTAAGAGCCTCAGAGCTAGCATGGATTCAAAACTACATTGTATTCCATACAGCAGAATCTTAACTATCCATACAATGATTTTTAAAGCTCAAGTTAAATAGGTCTTAAAGCATTTGGTACTACTGTCATTCATACAGTTTCTGAAACTGTAAATCAGGTCTAATTTTGTGCACATTTCCTGAACCAAGATGTCCATCTGAATTTACTACCTGTGGTCAGCCTTTTATGGTTTACAATAAACTGATGCATAAATGTCCACTAACACACATAAAGCTTAGCCATGGGGCAGCAGAGAGAAAAAAGTAATTCTGCAGACACAATTCTGCGGACACACTCCTGCATCATCTAGCTCAGGAATGCGGGCTTGCAGAAAATCAGAACAGAATATTTATGTGTAACTTAAGTTCCTGTCAATCAAAACCAGGCAATGACTAAACTGGCCGCGTGGAAAGGAGGGAGCGAGAGTCGTGGAGGCAGACCTTCTCAGCTCCGTCACCTTTCCCAAGAGGCCCAGGAAACGTCAGGTCAGGGCTGCTTCCCACTTACAACGGCAGCGACTACAGCCACGTCTGAAAGGGCTCACTTTTGTTCAGAGCAGACTCTACATCATTGAAGAGAGGGATCAGATCTTCAGATTCCAAAGTTCCTAGGTCAACGTTTGTTCCCGGAAGACAGTCAAGGAAATCAGGGAAGCGCGTCTGCTGGTGGTTGATGTTTATAGGCGTCTGTCCTGCATTTTCCCCTAGAGCACAATGAGAGAAAACCATTTTAAGTCCTTCACAGAGGGACAGTTCAAATGTTAATATAACATCTTCACGTCTTCAGACCTCATATTAATGATCCTTGCCTGTAAGACTTGCTGAGATGCTGGAGGAATCTGAAATAGTCTATAGTAGACATAGCCCAGAATGTAAAAGCAGAGAGAATAAGAGCAAGCAAAAGGCACCAAAGATCAAAGTACATGCCTGTACTTTCGCATTATGGATGCTTGAAAAGCTATTCAAGGTGAGAGAGGACTCACCTATATTACACACCTTACTGTTGAACTCCACTCTAGAGTTTATAACTGTAAGCTTCCCGTTACCCACATCATTCTCTATATGCACAGAGAGTGTGAAGTTTCTTTTAACCACAGTGTTACAAAGTTATTTCCATTGATGTCTTTAAGGCTTGTCTAAACTGCAGGCTTGCCAGGTATGGTGGCACATGCCTGTAATCCCAGCACTCGAGAGGCTGAGGCAGGAAGATCACCTGTGCATTCAAGGCCAGCCTGGTATAGCTGGTGAATTCAAAGCCAGCCTGAACTGCACAATGAAACTTTGTCTCAAAAATAAACAAAAACAAACCAATAGGCTTTACAGGCCTTATTCCTGCCTTCCCGTGCACAGCCCCACTACACTCCACCTTTCTCACAGCACCCAAGTCATGATGCACAGAAACATGCTATGGTTCTGAGCCTTGCAGTAAAGAAATCCATTGTATTTTGTTTAAGCTATTATCTCCTAAATTCATTTAATTACCTAGTCCTATTTTGGCAGAAACTATATTCTAGTAAAATCAGAGTTTTGAGGTGCACAGTTGAGAAAATGCTAGAAAGTTAAGGGTCTGGAAATTGAGTTGAAACATTGGTGTTCTTTCCATAAAATAGCAATGGAGAAAATACAGAGATATCTCGCATCATTAGACTGATCTGTTCAGCTGTGTAACCTTAGACACATTTGCCTTGTCTGGTTCTCCATTTACTTATCTAGAAATTGGGATTATTTTATGAGTTGGAATAAAAGGCCACATAGTATCTGCCCACATACAAGGTCCTAGGTGTCACACACATAAAATTATACACATACAAATACAATACTTTTTTATTGTTCTGAGAGAAAGCAAGCCCAGGAACTCAACTACTATTTAATTACTTAGTATCAGAACCAGTTAATTCAAACAGCTCAAAGTAAGCAGTATCTGAAGGAATGAAATTTTTACGAAGACTGAGAAGCATTGAAAACTGAAGCTACCTTTCACAACAGCAGCATTTTAAAAATGTTTTTGTGTTAGTTTCTTTCCTTGTAAGTGCATTAGCCCTCCTGAAAGCCATGCCCTAAGTTTCCCTCTTCCGAGAAAAATCGTACAAAATTCATTTTATTCAAATAACAGACTTGCATCCTGATGATGGCAAAGCATAATGGTTTTTCTAGAAATCACAAAATATCAATGACTCTTTGGCAACGCTTCACAGGATTTTCAAAGCACAGGAATTTGAAAAATGAAATCAATAACATGACCTCAGTATAATGTTATAGATAATGAAAACCACTAAAATAGGGAAGAAAATCCAAAATAACTTTCTCCTACTCTTTGGACTGCAACAGATAAAAAGTGAGGTCTTAAATTTATCTGTTCTAAAAAAACTCTGAAGACCTGAATTTTTTTTCAACTCTAGTTGATGAAATTATCATAGTAACTTTTACTACTCAAAAATCTATTTTAGCTAAATGAAATTGCTTTCTTGAAGAATGCCCCTTATCCCTTCTCCTCAAACATGGAAAGTTAGGCTTCCACACTAAGGTTAAAAATCTTCAAATATCCCTTTGTAGCAACTCTAATTTTATTATAGTAATCTTTTGAGCGTTTGTAGTTTTAGCCACTTAAAAAGTGGATGAAGCCTGATGTAGTGTCAAATTCTTGTAATCCAGCACTTGGGAGGCCGAGGCAGGAGGACTGCTGCAAATTCAAGGCAGCCAGGCTACACAGTTGAGTTCAATGCCTGTCTGAACTACATAAGCAAGACCCCATCTCAAATGAACAAACAAACAAATGGATGAGGAAAAAAAAACCCAGGCAATTCTTGCAGAACATTCTGGAAGGAAGGAAGATTGCTCAGCCTTTGCTCACCAGTCCCTCCGCTTCCACCCTTGCACAAAGCCCTGGTGTTATTTCTGGCATGTGGCCTGCAGAGGGCGCGCTCAGCAGGCTGACTCCCAGAGTTCCGCAGACCGACTGCAGCTTTTCTGGCTACACCTGAGTTCTGCCCGCTCTCTGCTCCTCCACATTTCCCTTCTAGGAAGCATTTATGCCTGAAAAGTCTTCACGGAGGTTAACCCTAAACCCTAGCCTGAAGACGTGGTCGCTCACGTAAGCAGGGTAAGCTGGAGCCCTAACATTTGTCTGGTCCACTTTGTATATCACATCAGGCTTCGCAGGAGAGGCAGAGAGCCCTGTGCCCGCCCGGTGGTCTCCTGAATGCTCAGAGTCCTCTGTGAAGTGAGCATATGACTCCCACTGTGTAGGGAAAAATCTGGAGGCCACACAACCTCACCAAAATCACTGCCAGGAAGAGGAGAGGAAAGTGTTCACCCATGTTGCCCTGTCTGCAAAGAGTACCTCTTTTTGGGACATCATGTAAATTCTACATTAGGGTTTCAAAATGTTTACACTTACCCCCTGGGGTCATTTCAAAAAGACATAAAAAAGAATCCATCCCCCTTTTTTTAGATCTTCTGAGGTTCCTTTTTCTTACTAAATTTCGCTTTTTTTCTTTTAATCCTTATGGGCTCCCCAGTGTTTAAAAGATAAGACTAAACAGCTATGAAATATAGGAAAAAGCCACTTAGTAAGGCTGTTCCAAGACAGCAAAATAAATCTAAGAAAATAAAGAGATGAAAGGGGGCAGGCGAGGGAGAAAACTGTAGCAATAAATTGAAGAACAGTAAAACAAACAGTTAAAACTATTCTTAAGTGACTCCTCCTAAGACAGAGGACACAAGCTCTAAACACGTGGGTGACAGCTAGAGGACGATCCTGGAAAAGCTGCCTCAGCACTCTGAGCTGCTGAAGAGGCCGCTGCAGTGCCATTCCTGGTCTCTCCAACAACTTAGATTCGGCACAGCCTTTGCTGAGGCAGGGAGCATAACGGACCACGGGCACGGGGCACAAATACAGTGGGAAAGTAATCTTTTATTATTATTGTAGGACAATGAATTCCCTATAATTACAGATGATACAGAAGAACCTCACATTAATAACTCCCAAGAATGCACACCTCAGCTATTCTGATTCTAGAATACTTTTCGAGAGTCTCTGACTTTCTTAATCAAGTCTAGATTAAGCTAATAAAGATAAATCCAGACTTTGCAACTGGATGCCTCACTCCTTGAGGACAGGAGAAAATGAGAGATAATCAGGAAGTCGGCTGAGCCTTGGTATAAAGGAAGCACAGAGTGGAGTCCCTGTAATCACAGAGCGGGGACATCACTACCATGACAAGAGCTTGGAGCTGCCCACTTGGAATATCCCGACTTGCTTAACTTTCTAAATGTTCATTGCCATTTGCTTCCCAAATGCTGTGAATGACATGAAAATATCTGCATGTTGTGGAAGCTGTAAACAGTCCCCTTTTCCTGGAGAAAAAGAGGGCCATACATCGCAACTGAAAAAGAGCAGCACAAAAATCCCACTATGAGACGGGCAGAGCAGACAGGATTCTCTAGGCATAACACAAGGAAGAGGTCAACTGAAGGAAGGACAAGTTGTTTTAAAAACAGAAATTAAAATCCTGTGCCCCTGTGAAAACTATGGATGTATAAACTCTGGAAAGAGGGCTGGAATTTATTTCGCGTGCCTGTGGGAGGAACAGCTTTTTGGTTGTCATTTTGTTGTTGAGATTCAGGGTTTCCAGTGGGGTTTTAGAACTGAGATGACCTAAAAGATAATTTAAAACTAAAAACACATGCAAGTATCTGCAGGCTGTGCTCCCACCTGTATCCATCTCATCCACGTTGCTGAGAAAGTCCTCGGGAGTTGTGGGGACACTGTAGCACCCCAAACCCAGGCCGCTATCGGTGCTCTGCTCCCTCGAGTGGTAGGGTCCCCTGGAGAGCAGAAGATGGAGATATGCATATGAGGCCGCTGAATACAGTTCACAGTGACAGAAGTCACGGCAGCTCATCCTAACATTAATGAAACTAATATATTAGAAGCAAATAACTCTTGACTATTCACAGTACATCATCACTAATTTCCTCTGAATTTCCCAATAACCACATGGACAGTTTTACATTTGAGTGTGATGCTATTTATATGAAATTAAAAAAAAAAAAAACCCAAGCTGAATGATGCATCTGGATACACACACAATTGGCAATAAGAAAGACATGTGTAAGAGACACATCAGTTCCTACACAGTAGCTACTATGGGGAGTAAAGAAGAGACAGAAATGAGGTTTTACTGGTGGAATGGGTTTAAATATTAATTGTAATATTATATTTATTGAGAAAGTGCTGGGTGTGATGGTATCTGCTTGTAATCCTGGCACTTACGAGGTCGAGGCAGGAGGTTTGCTGTGAGTTTGAAAGGCAGCCTGGATTACATAAGTGAGTTCAAGGCCAGCCTGCACTACATAGTAAAATGGGGGGTGGAGGGCATGCGTGGTGGCACATGTTAGTAATCTCAGCACTTGGGGGGCTGAGGTAGGAGAATCATTTGCAAGTTTGAGACCAGCCTGGGCTACAAAGTGAGCCTAAGGCCAGCCTGAACTGCATAGCGAGGCCCTATTGGAAAAAAACACCAAAAAAAAAAAAAAAAAAAGGCAATTTTGGGTAGACATAAAGAAAATCTGGGGAGGAGGTACATGAGTAACTCCTACATCATTCTTCATATTTTCCTGTACTTTCAAATCAACTGCCAGGGTAGTGCTGCATGCCTATAATTCCAGCATTCAGCAGGATGAGGCAGGAGGATTGCTGTGAATTTGAGGCCAGCCTGGACTTCAAAGTGAATTCAAATCGACCTGCACTGCATGGTGAAGCCCTGTCTCAAAAAGACAAAAATAAAATGAACTGCAGTGAAATGAACTGAAATGAAATCAAATCAACAAGGGAAAAAGCTACTTCATCATTATTTTGGTTGCTGTTTATTTGCATTATCCTATCTTTAATTATACTTGTTGGTTTCCAGAAGCCTCTGCAAGGGCAGAAAAACATAGGAAACAGAAGATTCCACCTTGCTGGGTATGAAAAGGCCGTGTTTATGATTGGCTATTTCTACTCTTGCAGATGCTTATGGTTAAATTAGGTTTTCCTTCTGCTCCTGTGTCACATTTTTTCAAAACATCATCTCTTTGTTCTAATTAATATGAGTCCCTGTGTGCCCTCCACCCAGCATCCTCCATGATAACATCTTACATAACCACAATTAATTACCAAAACCAGGAAACTGACATTGGGGGAATATTATCTATCTCTTAGCTGTTTTGTTCTCAATTTGCAATGTTCATGCTTTTATCCTTTGATGGGTTAAATAAAACCACAAGATTCTTCTGTGTATAATTACTAGACAGTGCTGTTCTGTTTAAATTAGCAGTTCATCCCACGTTCAAGTTATTGACTAGGGTTTATTCCATGTCCTATCACTAATTTTTGAATCTGAGGATTTTATAAAAATAAATGACTTCCTGTGCTCCTCTTTGCTGTTTCCCCTACATCCTCCCTCTAGCCACATCCTCAATTCTCCAGCTTTTCACCTTTTCCCAATGTAAACAAAGACCTCCTTATTGCTTAAAAGACCGCAAAAATAAATGGCCCCAAATGTCAGCTTACCCATTGAGGAAAGGATCTGAGCTATTATTGGTGATGGATCTCATGTCTGCGGTCATGGCGGGCTGGTTGACAGCAGCCTGCACGGTGGCCATTGTCTCCGCTTCCATGGGGAGCTGCCTGCAGAGGGCGGCTTCCTAGGAGGAAGACAATGAGAGGAGCGGGAAGAGTTAGTCATTGTCACAGGATGGGAGCAGAGTATATGTCACCAGAAACCAAAAGCTGCTCCCTGTATACAAAACACTTTATATTTCCAGTAAGTCAAAAGCATCAGGAAATCATTAGCGCTCTCGCTCTTAAGAAAGTCTTAGCAGTATGTCACTTTCCTACATGCACAGAGCTAATGCGAGGCTCAGCTAACATCTGGCTTTGGGGTCTGACTTCAAAACTGCCCCCACGTACCCACACATCTGTTTAAGCACTCAAATCACGGAAAGGCCTCGGCCACTTTCTCAGAGCCAAGTTCATTTCCAATGCAAGTTCTCAGACCCCAATCTAACTCAGCCGAAGTGATCAGGATCCTCAGGACTGGCGGGGACATCCTGGTCTCTGTCACCCAGAGGGCTATGAAGCAGTGGATTACAGAATTCAGGGTCTACATGACTCTACTTCAGGCAGTTTCTATTAACCACCAGGAGAATGAAACCATTAAAAAAAATTTTTTTTTTAAAGAAGTCAATCCGGTTTTCTATTTGATACACTTGACTAAATGACAGCATATGGATTTTATTAGCAAAAAAAAAAAAAAAAAAAAAATGCAAGCATTATTTTTAAAGCCAGCATGTCTCTGCCAAAGCAGGTCAATTCAAAAGGTCATGAATTTATTGACTGCAATCACTTTCTCTGGGTATCAACTTGAGGAGCCTCACCCAGGCATCAGATCAGATGCCTTTCGAATGTGCTGTCGTTTCCAGAGAATAATACTTCTGTATGTTTACACTTGTACCTGATACCAAGATTCGGCCCTTCCCCAGACATATGCCTATCCATTTTCCACTTTTCACACCGAAGCCATTGGTCTCGACTTCCCTCAGAGCTCAGCACCATGGCTACAGTGGCAAGCAGAACAAACAGGCCATCTAAGTTACCGTATCTCTCTTAGATCTCTTCCTGCCCTGACTCGCTAGGACTTTAGAGGGTAACTGCTGTCTAGACAAGTCCCAGTGAAGTCATCGGCTATAAAAACTTTTGGTTACTAGAGCTCACTGTGCTCTTACTAGGAGTTATGGAAACCTGACTCATAAACCGTAAGGGACCTGAATGATAAGAAACTGCACTGTTAACCCATACGGACATTAAACACTCCAGCTAGAAAGGGCCTCTGGTTCACTTCTCTTCGCCTCGATTGCAAAGACTCACTACATTTAACCAATTTTATTCAGTAAGCCATAAAAATAGAATTTTAAATGGAGTTTGTTTTTTAAAGATGAGTTTAGTTCACTATCCAAATTCTGGAAATAGCTTCTGAACAAATCTAGAAAAATTCAGTTACTTTCTGAGGGCTGTTTTGGCATGGAAGATAGCATGTCTTGGAAAATTACCCAACAAAGCCTTTCTGAAGCCTCCTGGAGAAGAACAACAGGGACCAAAACCTGGCACGAGGAACCTGGAGGGTACAGCCTGGAGTCACCCAACCTCACACATCCGGAGCTCCGTGTGAAAAGGTGGTCACTGACATCATTCTCGTTCTTTTGGTGTTGGAGACTGAAGCAGGGGCCTTTGCACTGAGCTACACCCCAGTCCCCTTTGCTTTGAGGCAGGTCTTGCTAAGTCACTAGGGTGCCCAGGCTGGGCTCACACTTGTCATCTACCTCCACCTCCCAGAGCGCTGGGATTACAGATGTATGCCTGGCTTAATTTTTAGTTCTTTGTAACCCGAAGGGGCAAGACCCCTTTGGCTAACAACCTTCAGTATCAAAAAAAAAAAAAAAAAAAAAAAGACCAGTTTTCTCCCAATATTCTATTCTATTCATCAACCATTCTAAATAAATGTGGGGCTTACTTCTGTACAGATACTCTTTTAAACATATAAGTTGATTTGATGGCTCTATTTCTTATGTTTGGTCACAAAGTCTTATCACTATATATTTGAAGATTTTATTACTATATATTTGAAGGTTGAACACATAATTTCTAAGAGATATGAATTTAAATATAGTAAGAAGCATTTCTGGAACTTCAAAGGATTAATAATAGAATATACAAATTATTCACTATCTATAATGACATGAAAATCAAATTTAGATTATAAAAAATATCAGAAACTATACATAAGCTAATAATTCTAAACATTCCCTCCCATTTAAACTAATCCAAGCATACTTTAAGTAGATAAAACACAAAATAATGCTTGTATGTGGCCAAACAGATAAAATTCAAAAAACTTGTATAATAATGAAAGCAGAAAGTATGCACTGTATATTGGCAGAAATGTTACACTGTTCCATTTCAAACCCATTCCATTCATTTATTGATTCATTGATTTTTGTTTGATTTTTCTGAGACAGGACCTCACTATGTAGTTCAGGCTAGTCTTGAACTCACTGTGCAGTCCAGGCTGCCCTCAAACTTGCAGCAGTCCTCCTGCCTCAGTCACCTGAGTGCAGAAAGTACATGTGTGCATCACCATCCCAAGTTTCCTGTGTTAAATTCAAGAAAACAGAAGTTCATTCTTCATCACTGGTGTTGTCCTGACTACTGTGAAGAACTAATCACTAAGTCCTGGAGAAGGAAATACTACTGTCCATCTGGAGGAGCTCACATCTCATTTCTATCTTTGAATGATTAAGAAACAAGAGAATTGCCTGAACAATAACAACTTCAAAAAAATCAGCCAGCCAGTTTCAGAAAGTTATTATTTACAACACAATACTTCCTCTAAACTGCACCAAGCTCGCTCTTGGGTCGCAAGTCTTTGCACACAGCAGCCAGAGGCAACCATGTGGCCCCTGCTTCCTGCCCCCTTGACTGGAGACTGGGGGCAGGTCTCTGCTGAGGGTACCTCCCTCCCACTCTTCTGAGTCTTTGCTGTCCCTCCCACAGCTGGCATTAGCACCCACGACTCTCTCTGTTTGGACACCACCCCAGGTCTTCCCAAAGCCCACCTTACTGCCCACCCAGCTCTTACGAATGTCACCACCACAGAGAAGCTCCTTGCTAGACTTTGTCAAAAAACGGACTCACTTCTGTTATTGTGTAGTGTGAATACAATAAGCAGGGCTACTGTGATGTTAAAGATGCTTAGAACAGTGCCTACTTTGAAGGATCACTTACTAAATGCTTAGCGAATGATTATTCTCATCTCTTGTGTTATATTCTAGTCTCAAAACCAGTAAAAACAGAAACAAACACTTTAAGGGTTAGGATATAGCTCAGTGGTAGAGTACTTCCCTAGTATGTGTGAGACTCTGGGATTCCCAACATCACAAAAAATTAATTAACTGATTAAGCAACTTTAAAACCACATGACTGCATGAAACTGATCCATTTTGAGAGGTAGGGCATTACTTCCTGGTCAACTTTCACCCCGGTGAGATTAAACGGAAGCATGAAATTCTTCACAAGGCTGAGAAAACAATTATTTTTTTAAAAAACCCCAAGAAGTTTATAAATCTTTTGTATAACATAAAGCTAGCTTTGAGCTGAGCATGGTGGTACACATCTGTAATTTTAGAACTTGGGAAGGTGAGGCAGGAGAATCTGTGCAAGTTTGAGGCCAGTCTGTGCTACACAGTAAATGCAAGACCGGCCTGCTGAACTGCACACAGCAGTGAGATCCTGTCTCAAAAACCTATTACAACAATAGCAACACCACAAAACAAAAACGATGGAGACCAGTGAGTGCCAGTTACTGTTTGGGATAGCAAAAACTGATGAGACAAGGACTTGTCCCCAAGGAAGACTCTACAAGGGAGACTGCCACTCATGTCGCCAGCACCACCATGCTCCAAATGCCTTCCCGTGTCAAGTAATGGCCGCCATTGCTTCTCTAGGTATCTGGCCCACCTTCCTTATCAACCTTCACATGGCAGGTCGCAGGCAGGTTTTTGTCAATATTTTACCAAGTGTGACCAGAGAAGAACCTTCAGTACTGAGAGGAGCTGGGGTAGCACTTCTGAGCCACAAATGGCTCAAGGTACACACTGTTAACGGACTGCCACATGCGAGAAGGAAGACTTCCCATTCTGAATCTGAGGCAGACAGATTCAGATGAAGAACTTCCTAGTCAGTAGTCAGTTCAATAGGGGAAATGGCTGCTGCTCAATTCTCTGAGCTACTGGCCACTGCAATTCGTAAGCAGCAGTTAAAGGTTTAAAGCTATCAGACACGGCCTAGGCTTAGCACAGAAAGGGAGCCCGGCAGAGAAGAAAAACTGTCTTAGAATCAGAAAGATTGGAGTTCAAACGCTAGATCAGTTATGATCTAGTTGTGACATCTTGGACTAAATTCTTAACCTTTCTTCACAGTTTGTTCCTCAAAAAAAAGGTCCATGAAACCTGTCTTGTTGGGCTATTACAGAGATTAGAAGCATAATTACAAGAATAAGCTGCTGGTCGTGCTCAGTGGTCTGGGAGGCAGGGATACCATCTCATACTGGTGTGGGGCTCTGTCCCCAGCACCCTGATATTCCACTCCATTTCACTTCATCCTCATGGCGACCCAATCGTCTTCATTAGACAGAGGAGGCCACTGGGGCACAAAGGAAGGAAAAACTTTCCTGAGATCCCACGGCTAATAATGCATGGAGGAGGATCTAAATCTAGGCTGCCTGGCTTCCCAGTGCATTCTGGTGGCCACCAAAGACAGCACAGCGCGGCAGAGAAGAGAAACTGAGGGTGGAGGCTGGCAGGCCTGAGACAGGGGGCCTTTCCCAGACCAGCTGTGAGACTTGTGTCACTTCACTTCTCTGGGCCTGTTTCCCCAGCTACAAAATGGAAATGCTGACTGCTTTCCTTCCGACGGACCACTGAGAGGAGACCTCCACAAAGCAGCCTGCTTAACAGTGCTGAGCACAGCTTTCCTCCCTGAACTGGCCAAGGTCGCACTGGATGCCCTCTTTGACGCTGCTCAACACAGAGCTGGAACCAGTATCCTGAAAATTCACAGCCCACCAAGCTGAGTTGTAAAGTCTGATTTT